TGGGACCCGCGCACAGCGAGAGCACAATTCTGGGACCCGCGTGGCCCGCGTGGGACCCGCGGGACCCGCGTGGCAACCGGACACGCAAGTGCAGCTCAGGAAAGCAACCAAAGTCTAGATCACAACCCTGAAGACCTCAAGTCTGTATACACGCAAGTGACTGACATTACTGCAGAAAACTGTAAAAGTTTGGCTCATGCAACATGCTTTGCGTTTGGAGACCTTAAGATTCGTTCAGGGTAAGAAAACAATTGCAAGTTTGGGCTCAAAGAAAAAAAAAGCATGCACAAGGCTTGTCAAACATCTTCAAGTACTACCCATTTAGTTGGCACCACTTGGCCTAAGGCCAAAAGTGGAAACATGCCTCGCCAAAGTTTCTTTGTTGACGTACTTAGTAAGTATATCCACATTATTAAGGGTTCCTAAAACCAACAGCTCGCCGCCGCGCAGAGGTTTTGAGGAAGTGGTTTCTTCGTGCCAAGGAACTGAGAGATCTAGGTCCGGACCCTTGTGTTCATGACTCTGCGGCCCCTCTTTTGCGAGGGAAATGCGTGCGCCTTCTCAGAGAGTTGATCGCTGCAAGCAAATATGGGGACAAAGCCCTTCCAGAAGACATAGGTAAAGGTTTCGATCTCCTGGGTCAGATCCCGGCCTCTAATGTGCTTCCGAAGAAAGCTTCTTTCGCTTCCCTCACCTTGAGGATGTCCGTGCCGTTGCCAAGGAGAACCAATCAAGTACCTTGGCTGCCAAGGCTGAAGCCTGCTGGACCGCAGAAGATGAGCAAATAGCCCAGGAGGTTTATAACTTGACCATGCAAGAGGTCGAACAGGACTGGGTGAGGGGTCCCATCCCGTTGAAGGACCTTCCGCCCCAATCTGTTTTGATTCGGAGGTTTGGAGTGGTGCAATCGTCTTTTGATTCCGAGAAATGGAGTGTGCGTAAGGTGAGGCGCATAGATGACTTCACGGCATCTCTTGCTAACCTTACCTCTTGTAGCGAAGAGACGATTGCTCCTCACTGCGTTGACGTCATTCTTGCAGGGCTTGTTTTTCGTGCCAGGACAGCTAAACTTGCGGGACTGTCTGAATGCTTGGTCGCCAAAACGGTTGATCTTCGAAAAGCCTATAAGCAGCTCCCACTTTCGGAGTCTGCCCGTGGAGTTGCCTACCTTAGCGTGTGGTGTCCGAGTGCAAAGACCGTTCACATTTTCCAAAGCTTCGTCCTGCCCTTTGGTTCGCGACCGTCCGTGCAGGGTTTTTACAGATCATCGCATTGTTTATGGCGTGTGGGAGCGAAGTTGATGGATCTTCGCTGGTCGCTCTTTTCTGACGACTACGTGGTCGTGAGTTGCAAGGATGAAGCCTCACACCTTAGCATGGTCCTTGATTCGTTCTTTGAACTCGTGCGCTGGCAAACCTCTAAGGAGAAAGAAGCTCCCTTGAATGCTGTTGCTAGGGCGTTGGGGATAGAAATCTCCTTAGCAGACTCTCGCGCAGGCCTTTTCAGTGTATGCAACGCCCAGTCGCGTAAAGCAGAACTTGGGCCCACGCAAAAGCCTTCGAGTCTCTTCGAGGGCGTCTGTTGTTTGCTAAGAATCAAGTCTTTGGCCGTCTTGCTTGCCAACACATGCGCATTCTGTCTGCAGCTTGCTGTAACCAAGGATTCGTTCCGATGTCCAATGACCTGCGTACAGCCTTGACTTATCTTAGGGATAGTCTTTGGGGATGACCGATCTGTCTCTTCCGCCTACCGCAACTGCGTGCACCTTTATACTGATGCCTTGTGTGAAGGAGGACGAGGGGGCCTGGGTGCCGTGCTGTATAACTGAGGTGGTTTTCCGAAGACTGTGATCAGGATGTGATCTCCACTCTCAATGTGGAGGGTAAGGAGGGGTTCATTTTTGAACTTGGAAGCTCTTGCCGCTGTGCGAGGTGTGTTGTACTTGTGCACTCAGCTACGGCATACCGACTTGGTGCTTTTCTTGGACAATGATGCTGCGAGCCCTGATGAAGAGCAATTCAGGTTCCCCTGTACTACAGGCTTTGCTCGTCGAGCTCCATGAGTTTGAGATCTCCAATGATCTGAATATGTGGTTCGAGCGGATTGCCAGCGCGTCAAATCCAGCCGATGCTCCCTCGCGAGGGGACGTCAAGCATCTGCCTGTGGGCTTTCGCGTGCGTTTGAGCCAGCGCAACCTCCTACATCCGACGTGAAGGAGTAGGGGGGAACGGTGCGTCGCATGCAGGATGACTGAATCAAACGTGCAGGATTTATCACGCAGGATATCTCTTGAGGGACTGTGTTGCCCATGTGTGCACCTCCGTGCTGAACATTGCAAGCCCAGCCTGAGTTGTGGACGCCCCAGCCGAAAAAAGTTCATTGTCCGCTGCTCTGTGCAGATGTTTGAATTTGATCATATATTTGATGGAGATATGAGTGAGTTTGTTTGCGCTGCAGATTGAATAAGAACAAATTTTTCCAAACTCACGTCTCCATGTGATATCATTTTGCCGGATTTCATGAAATCTTCCTTGCGCAATTTGTTGATTGACAATCCTTGTGCATTTGAGTTGGCTCTTGCAAGAAAGTAAAAATTTTTGTCCCACCCACCCAACCCGGGGGGAAAGGTACGTCGCGTGCAGGATGAATCAAACGCGCGGGATTTATCATGCAGGATATCTCTCGGGGGAACGGTGCATCGCGCGCGGGATGATTGAATCAAACGTGCGGGATTTATCGCGCGGGATATCTCATGAGGGGCTGTGTTGCCCATGTGTGCACTGCCGTGCTGAGCATTGCAAGCCCAACCTGAATTGTGGACGCCCCATTTCGAAAAAATTTCATTGTCCGCTACGCTGTGCAAATGTTTGAATTTGACCATCTATTTGATGGAGATATGAGTGAGTTTGTCAACTTGCGCTGCAGATTGAATAAAAGAAGTGTCTGTCCAACCATCACTCCAGCCGTCGTCCCAAGTCGACCGCCGCCAATCATCATCCCAAGTTCCATCGCTGAACACAGCTGCAACCAAGTCATCAGACCGCCAGTCCTCAAACCAAGTATCTGCAGACCAATCATCCTCATACCAACCTTNNAGTGCGCTGACACGGCCCGAAGGGCGCTGCGACGCAACATGGCCGGTCTTTCCGCAAGTCCAACAAACCAAAGCATGCTGACCAAGAAGTTTCGACTTTCCCCTTTCTTTACCTTTTCCTTTCGCCGTTGCCGCGCTGTGAAAGTTCATGTAGGCACTCTTTCCTTTACCTTTTCCAAGTTTTTCTGTCTTTCCTTTTCCTTTTCCTTACTTTCCTGTGAAGTGGCCGAAACCATCTTTGCCGAAGCCTTTCTTGCCGTTAAGTCCGCCAATGTCCATTGGAGGCGGCCTAACAGCAAACTGAGAGCATGACAGCTAGTGCTGAAGTCAGAGTACTCACCAGGATCAAAGCTGACAAGTTTAGGGCACAAAAACAGAAGTGAACCATACCTAACAACAGGCGTGCTCTCACCTGAAGGGCCTTCAAGTCTGGAACCTTCAGAACTCAAAGGGGCCTTGCGTCCTTGCTGAGGCAGTCTCGCAACAGAAGTGACATTGTAAGGAACATCACAAACATAAAAGTTCAACCACAAACGCTTCCCTTTAATCTCAAAAGCAAAAAGTTTTCGACTGTAAATGCCGATGGGGCCTCAGACCAGGGGCATGCTCACGCTCTCACTGCCGGAGCATTCTCAAAAGGAACTCGCGTTGTAGGAGTGCGTAGGTCCACAAGACTGTTTCCTAATGTCAGCAAGGTGTTGTGTCGCTTCGTTCGTTACTTTAGCCCCTCCCATCAGTTCACCACCATTACTTTGTGTCAAGGGGTTCGCGCCCCCATGCATCGTGATTCTTGGAACAAGCCAGGATCCACCAATCTGCTGTGTAGCCTTACGCCCGACCCTAGCTCGGTTTGGCTGCATGATCCTGAGGGTAGTGATCTTGATCCACTAGGATGGAAATTGCAAGGACGTACCTCACGAACCCGTGTGTCTTCGACCCACGCCGCTGGCGTTGCGCCACCCCTCCAAGCAAAGCCGGTCCTGACGTGCGCATTGTCATTGTTGCGTTCACCATCAGAGATCCAGAAACACTCGTGCCTGCAGACGCGCAATATCTGCGTGAGCCTGGGTTTAACTTGTAGGTCTCGCCTCCGGACTGTACGTGAGACGCTGACGGCATCCTGCCGCAGTGTCGCCTTCTGCAGTAGCAGTGTACATATCTGACTAGACTATCTGACTAGACTCACTTAAGGGGGGAGTTGTGAAATCACGATTCCCAAGAGCATGAAGTTGATGATGTAAGTTTAGCTAGTTGCAGACATGTTAGCTGACATGTTACCACGTCGTCTTGCTGTTTTCAACTTTATGAGTGAGAGTATTCTCATTTCATTGATCATAGCAATAGTATTCTTATCATTACCACTGTTATTTTTTTATCATAATCAATATTATTGCTATTGTGATTACTCGTGTTGATTGTTGTTACTGTTTTCTAATTCTTATTCCAATTCTCATTTTTGCGTGTTATTATGCTTATGACCACAGTGTTATAGTGGTAAATATTATCCATCTTTGCTTTTATTATGATTCCGATTTCATATTTCTGCTGTTTGTATCAATTCCATTATTATTCGCATTCTGCCTTTAAATCGAGCTTTCAGGTGGAGCGTCCACACCTTTTACATCAGAATTGTACTCTCCAGTGAGGCATCCTCTGAAATCAGGCCCCCAGCACGAAAAGGGCAACAAATCCAAAAAACATCAAGTCCAAAGTTCAATTGCTGTCTTGCATTTTTGGAATTGCTTAAGTTTGCAGGATGGTCTAGAGATGAAGATCCACGATGAGGCGGGCAGCTTCACATAGACTCAACATGCTGCAAGCCTGCATTTGTTGTGGATTCCAGAGGTTTTGACGGTTGACCCTCAGGAAGCCGCGGGCTTGGTTCTGCCGTTCTGTCAATCCCCTTGCTTATTTCCGACCCGCTCTAATATTTCACCAGTCACCCCCTGAGCTCAACAAGAAAGTTGGAGGCTATGAAGACATCGCATGCTCTGGCAAGGACGGGCAGAAGCTTTACGCTTGTTTTTCTTCATTTGCTTGGTGTCGATACCTTGAAAATCCATTCGCTGAAGGGTGTCACCTTCAAGGAAACTTTAATGGTTTGCGGAAAAGTGGGCAGTAGGTGTCTCGTGGTGTGACTGCCTTAATATCTCCGTGCCCAGCTTGCTGAAAAAAACCGTTTGTGCGTGCAATTTTAAATGCATGTTGGACAACATCGTGTCATCCATGACATTCCATGACGTAATGTGAAGATACACAGCGCATCGCACCCGGCCAATGGCACCTTCGTTTGGCATGGTTTGTCTTGCCGTTCGCCCAGAGGTCTATGTGAGCAGGCTCAAGTTGGCAATGGCTACCAAAGCCAAAGCCTCGGGCCTTTCATTGACACCTGGTCCCTTGTGGTGTGGTTGGGTGGTTTCGGGTACGTACTTTCCATTTGGTCAGCTTGTGTTCCCCAGTGCCTGAAATTTTCAGGAAATGCCCCGCGCCAGGATGCTGAAGTTCGCCCATCGGGCCATAATTCACGAGGTCGAAGGCCTAGAGGAACAAGGCGAGTTCTCGAAAGTTAAGGCCTGCACGCAAACCCTGCGCAAGCTTACGCGGCGGGGCTTTCCGCTCACGCGGCACCTGTTCCAACAATAAGTAATAAAGCGTATGGAGCCTTGCGCGAAACCAGACATTTGCGACACCTCTTCCCACAATGCAAGCACAGCCAATTGCCTTCAAGAAATAGCTGTAGCAACACAACCTACACAAGCTTCTGCGACGCTTGCGAGCGCAGGGGAAAAACCCTACTTTGACGCAGGCTCCCACATGGTCATGTTTTCATCATTTGAGCTACTTGACTGTGCAGCCAACAAAGCTGGTTTGCCGACTAGGAGAAAGGTGACGCGGGCTGTGCTAAAGCACAGGGGCTAGGTCAGCTGCAACGACCCAGAGTCGGAGCCGTGAAACGTCTTCCACTGAAGGGGCACCCTCAGCAACTGAGAGAATCTCAAGGCATCCAGGTCTCTGCCCTGGCGCAGTGTACCAGGAGAGCAAGGCGATGGAGAGAACTGACGTTGATGGTTCCCTTGGTGGCAGCGTTTTGTGTGGTTCTGCCGCTTTTTGGGACCAAAGCCTGAAGCAGCAAATCTGTGGCTCCGGCCAGCTGTGGCTGTCTTGCCGCAAAGGTTGCTGAGACTACGAGGAGGAAGCTTACAGATGGACGTGGCGGCAGCTCCGAGAGAGTGACGGCTTGGGCTGTGAAGACTGTGATGATTTGTGATGTGTGTTTTCTGGGGCCAACAATCCCTGGTGTTGACGTCCATGGCATGCTGTTGGCCGAGCAAACTACCCACGCCAGGCTTGCCATTAGCCTGGCTGTAGCCGATCTAGGCCTGTCAAGCTGGCTGAGGACGTCTTTCGTGGCGCAGCAATTTCTGCATCGCGCTTTCCATTAGGGCTCCAGGAGCGCTGGGAAGAAGCCGCGCGGATCAGCGGATCCGTGGGGCAGCTGGGACGTTGCGATCTTGTGATTGTGAGGACCCGCAGCAGGTTTGGGAACCTGCTCTTGGTACATTCACCTTCGGTGAGCGGCCCTACGGACGGCTTCCTCAGGCTGCGCCGCCGGAGCCCTTGGAAGCTGCTGAGAAAGGTGCCTGTTTTGTTGCTCCAGCGTGGCAGTCCTGAGTCCCGCAGAGGGCTGAAACGCCGGTAGAGCTTTGGTTTCTGCTCGGCCAACCAGCCGTGAGCCTGGCAGCAGCCAAAGACAGGCTGGTCCTTGAAGGCCTCCTGGTTTTGTCATCAAGCTGGAACACTGCGTGCTCAAGCCAGTGTTTGCAACCACCATTGACCGATATCGACCGTTTGTGAGCAGATATCGACCGTTTGTGAGCAGGCTCAGGTGTTTGGTTGAAGGCATGATACAGAAGTTGAGAAGGTCCTATCGCATCGCGTCTTCGAAATGTATCAGTGGAAGCTCTGAATTCTGCCAACTCGGTTAGCGGATGTTAGCGGTTTTGAGGCTGCCAGGTTACTTTCAAGAGTCTGGACAGCATTCTTGATGACACAAGGGACGTCGAGAGGGACGTCAAGAGAGGGCACTAAGCATGAAGAGCAAAGCTGGAAGAAAGCTGCTTTCTCAGAGGATGGAGGGCATCTTCTGCGGGACCTCTGGAGGGGCCACGGTGGCCACAGCGCTGGAGGCGGGGCAGCCTGGGCTCTGCAATGCTCAAGACGCGAAGAAATGCGAAGAAGCGTTTTTGGATTTGTCAGGTCGCAGCCAAAGCGTGCGAAGCTGAGCTGTGCGAAGATCTTCGCAATCGCTTGCTGCAAACCTTGGTCTGCCAGATATTTCTGTTGCGCAAGACTCCAAGCAAGTTTGCACATAAGAAGCTCTGGTCTTCCATTCATTCTCCAAAGCTAGAGCTTCCGGATGCCGTCCCACGCGGCAACATTGAACCCACATGAGGCCTGCTGGCTCCACAATCCTGGCAATGATCCCAGATACGGCCGAGCAGCGGGCCCAGCATCGTCAGACCCTTAAAATTGAATGAGAAAGCCGTCCCAGTGTAAGGCGATACCTTTCGACCCCACTTTTCGGGGACATCGATGCAGAAATGAACGAGGCAAAGCAGTGCTTAGGGTGCAGACCGTGCCACTCTCTGAAACCTGCCTTAGGAGGAAATGGAACTTGCAAAGTCCACACCCAGCGCAGCGCCCTCAGCATGGTGTGGAAGGCCCAACATGTCTGTGAACATCCGCCAAGCATTGCTGCCGTTCCCTGCCTCCGTTTTGAAGCTTCAGGCACAGCCGTGAGATTGGGAGACTGGAGTTGAAAGATGAGTCAGTTGAATGTGCTCTACAGCTTTGTGATGAACAGTTCTACCAAGAGCAGTTGTAGATTTGAAGAAGCACCGTTGAGTCAGTGGACTGGAGAAGCCAGTCCTCACAGTTTTGGTTTCAAGTAGGACTTGGGGAGCAAGTGTAGAAACGGCCACGAGGAGCAATCTGTCCCAACCTGCCAGCATGATTGTGGGACATCACAATGCGTTGCAGATCAAGTTCACGACATGGCTTGAGGTGTCAATTTCAGTTGTCAGCTGAAAAGCATATTGAGTAGTAGAGATGCAAGCTTGGGATCGCTGCCGGCACACATGTCCAGATGATTGTCCATGTTTATATGGATGTAATTCAAGATGGTTGTGGGTTTATGGTCAATTGGGTCGAAGCTTCACTTGCTCTTGGTTTTCCAGCAGTCTCACTCTGGGCCGGGCGCATCGGCCTCAATCCAATTTTTGCTGAGACTTGTCGAGTGAAGGACCTGGATTCCGCACTGCCTTCCGGGCTCTAGATATGCCGAACTGAGACACGCAGTCATATCGGTGGCGGTGGTTCCAAAGCTGCGCGGAGCCTTCTTGGCAACCCCCTGAGCTTCCGAGGCTTGAGCTTGATGAGTTTACTAGTAGACCCGAAACGGACGAATGCTCAAGCAGAAGCAGGTTTCGCTTGTTCTGCAATGCTGGCATTTGCTCGTGACCCAACCTGTACGAATGCCCTGAAGCTTGGACACTCGGCTCATTGCTCAATGATTCTCAGCCCCCTAGTGCGCCGAATGCACTAAAGTAGGATTGGAGTAAGTCCGTTGTCCTTCCCTTGGAATTGGCCGTGTGTTGTTTACCCTGGCACCACAGCGTTGCCCAATTTGGGCACATTTCTCCGTGCTCAAGCAAGCCTGCGACTTTCTGACATTTGTGAAAAAATATGTGCTGTTCGGAGTTTACCATTCTGGATGGCTCGGCTTTCCTTTTCGAGGGGCTCGGCTCTCTTTCTGGACACGACATTTTCCCATCGATTGCCGTCCCCCAAGTAATCATGGCACCAGATCCTCATCTGGGATGTGATTACAGGACCCCGGTCCACCCTGCACTTCCGACCTTGGCCGTCTCATCGGCTGTGCGAGGAGCTGCTGAACGGTGGCGGAAACCACGGCGTCGTGTACCGCTGCAGACGTGCCGACGGCGAGCATTTTGCCGCGAAGGCCGGCAGTGGGCAACTGAGACTGCTGGCCAGCGAGTGTCTCGGGAGGTTTTGAAGGATGCTGCTGAAGTCCGCGTCTCATCATGCCATCTAGTGACTCTAGTGCCATAGTGTGGTGTCCTGTTGCGTCTGCAAGCCGCGCAGCAAGCCACAAAGGCTGCGCACGAAGCGGCAGTGCTCCAGGCCATCCGAACATTGTGGCGTTTGAAGCCTTGTGGCTTGGCTTCGGGTCAGCAAGCCCCTTGTGTTGAACGCACTTGGCTTGATGGCACCTTCAAAGTCTCGATTCTCGTGCCAAGGATCCAGGCTACCCAGCCGATCCTGATCATGGAGCTTGCGCCAGGGTGTCGGCGACCCGAGTCAAAGAAACAAAGGAAATCCTGTTGGGTCCATGCTTGAATGGACGAACCGAGGCAACCTCACCCAATGTGGACGGATGCCGGACGGCGCTCTTGGAATCATGCAAGGTGCGGGCGGAGTGGTGAGTGCAGGCTGCACAGTAAGCGTTGCGGCTATCGGCCAGGCCTCTTGTCAGCCGCAGCGTGGTTGAGCCACAAGGGCATCGTCCACAGGGACATCAAGGCTTGTCGTTGTCCGCATCTGGCCACTTCAATCCTGAAGCCTGCAACTTCTCGGCAGCTGCGACAGGCCGACAACATCCCCCCCCACCTCAAGAGCGGGAACCCGGTGTTGCTGGATTTCGGGTCAGCTTGCCAGATGGCCGACACCACCGCCATGAAGCGCCCCCAGGGCACCCTTGGATCTGCTGCTCCGGAGCTACTCCAAGGACAAGGTGGCGACCACGATGGCAAGGCCCGCCTAGCAAAAAGATTTCTGCTGGTATCCGACAGTCAACCCGATCAAATCAGAGACAGCCAGGAGTTGAAAGTCTGCGACAAGTTTCTGTCGCTTAACTAGAGATTTCGGTTTGCAACAGCAGGAACGACTTTGGCCTAAGTCGTTGGATGAAGGTTCTGTAGCGGCAACAAACCGTGCTTCTTAGCACCGGTGCGCCATTTCCCGAGGCACCAGAAATAAATTGCACTTCGTGGCACAAAGGGCTCCACTTCGAGCCTCTTCAAGTCCGTCGCCGGCGGCAGATCGTACTTCTCAGCACTGAGCCCCATCTCGAGCCCAAGGCACCGGCGACGAAACGTATCGTACTTCTTCTGACACCCGGGCCGCGTTTCGAGACCAAGCCGCCGGCAACACAGCGTACTTCTTAGCACTGGGACACACTTCGTGGGACAAGCGTCTGCAACCACAGGCCGAACAGTTGCTAATATTGCCACCAACTAAAAGCGAACGCGCCTGATGTTTGCGCAGGCCAAGGCACTCAGTTATTGAACGCGTTCACAGGCAGCGGGCCCCCTGTTGTCGGCATTGGTCGCATTTTCGACACAGGCGAAACTTCAATGACTTACTTCGTTGAGATATTGAGAAGTTGGCAAGCGGTCAAAGTTTGGATCTTGCTCGTAGTGATGCCCCTGTGACGTTGCTTGCCAGGTGGATGTCTACGGCATCGGGGCTGTTGGCCTCTTCTGCGCAGCTGGAACGTCGCCAGTTGGGAGTGGAAACCTGCAAGAACTCGCGCAGCGCACCATGCTCCACCAGATCGGCTGAGCAAATCCAGTGCTGTTGTGGTGCTCGCGAGACCTCGTTTCCATGCTCCAGGTGCGACTGCTAAGTTGTTAAGCCATCTACGATCTTTGTTGCGACCGTCGTGTCCCTCCGCTTTGCGAGGCATGTTTGGCAAAGCGCCCGCAGCGCTCGACTGCTGCAGCGGCCATTGAGCGCTGCACCATCCCGACGTCTTCGCGGTACAAAAGGGGCGGCTGCAGACAGCGGAGCCGCACCTGCAGGCGCGGAGCGGATACACTTACAGATCTTACAGGCTTGTGCGCGACATTTTTTTGCGCGCAAAATCTTATGGCAGGCGCGCCGTGAACTTGGCAGTGTGGGCCCTGGCTGCGCGATTCACTGACTAAAGCAGACTAGCATCCATGGTTACAGATATGTTTCGCGTTGTTTCGGGAATCTGCGGACTTTCTTACCGAGGCGGCTCCCGCAACATCCGACAAGACATGCAGCGATAGCGCAAAGGCCTTACATCCGACCTGTGCGAAGTTCAAAGCCTGGTGCATGTGTGGACAGGCTTGAAAGCTCGTCCGATCTCGTCCGTCAAATGTGCGTGTCAGGCACCGGAGCTGTTGCGCACGACGATCACCGTGCGAAGAAAGCGACATGGAGCCACGTCAGCAGCTATCATCCCAACACGGCAAGTGTTCCAGTTCGCGGTCTAAACACAACTCAGGAGACGATGGTGAGCTTCTTCGATCACGAAGTCGTGGCTGTCCGAAGGACGGGATAGTTGACGGTCGTATCTTGCAAACTTGTGCTTGGGATTCTTTTGTCAACGACTCAAGATTTTATATAAGCTCGCCCCCAAATCAAGTTAGCGGGTAGCGCCCCCAGGTATGGCAATGCAGCTGCCCTACTGAAAACATCCTGACGTTTGGACCTTGTCGAGCTCGACAAGTGATTATATAATTTCAATTTTGCGCAAGAAACATTCCAGTTTCTTAGTGGTCCCGACGTTGAAAAGTTCGGTATCTAAAGTTAAGGAGGCAAATGCACAAGAATTGCCAGATTTGATTCGTGTCGCTTTCTCCGAGTTTTGATCCTAGCACCTGACTCATCGTGCAGGATGTTTCTCTGCGCACTCCGTAGCGGAATATTCGCCCCTAGCCGTTATAATTTCCATGAAAGAGTCTTGTGACACGACCCGAGATCACAATACGTCATCATAACAGAAACAAGACTGTTACCGTGACAAGACATACCACTATTACAACTATACCCATACCACTTGTGCGGCTGCTGCTACTTCTGTCGTCACTTTTGTTGCAGATACTTGAACACTTGGCCCTCGCGAATGGGGGGTTTGCTTGCCGGGATGGGAAGTGGTGGGAAATCCTCATCTCGGCTCGGGAATGGGGTTTGTCTGTGTGGATGGGGAGGGCTGGACACCCATCTCGGCTCGAGGATCGGGGATGGGCAGGCTTGGATAGCACTCAACAGCAACTACCCATCTCAGCTTCCGAATGCGGGTTTGCTTGGGGGTGTTGGAGACCATCTCAGCTCGAGCACGGGTTTTTGCGCCTCTTGTGGTTTACCAAGAAGTTGGCGGCGCACCTTTGGGTATACTGTGGATCGTCTGGCCGGGAAACACAACCGTGGCAGACCTGTGGTATGCTATGAGCGGAACTGGCCCATGGTATAACATAATGGGTTTGCATTTGCACGGTATGTGCTGGCAGACTTTGTGTTCTTCATGGCTTTCCATAAGCAGTCCATAAGCATGCCCTTGAAAAAAATGTTTGGTATGCGGTATTCCGTACCCATACGGTGTGCAATCTGTACAGCTAGTGCATCGTGCACGGATGGGGAGGCCTCCGTAGCCTTGGCACCCCCCCGTACGTAATGTAAGTGCTGGAAAGGAACTGGCTCCATGTGTTGAGCGCTCCGGTTGGGCACCTTCTCGGCCAGCTTCGCGGCTTTCACTCGGAGCAATGAGATGGGAAGGCCCGGCCTCTAGTGTGACACTTGCGTTGAACCCCGCGGAACCATTCCAACTGAATCCTGAGGTCTGGCTGCCTTCGAGGCCAACTGGCCTTGCAAGGGGTCAGGCTTTCTTCCGTGAAGTCAAAGGGTTCGTCTGTTTTTGTTGCGCAATAGTGCGGTGCCCTGAAGCAAAGTGGGAAAACAATGGCTGGACCCTTTGGCCGACAAGTTCCGGGTTTACACCAGTGCAAGGGGTCGCTGACACGCCGCATGTGGCTACTGTGCTTGGATGTAGGCCTGCAGGACATTTGGACTGATGGTGTCAGATGGAGAACCATTCAGATGACACTTCGCCTGTATCATGACCACTATGCGTGGGGCTTTGGGACCGTCTGCTGGATTTTGCCCTCAAGCTGACTGTAGACAGTTCAGTATATCGGATTGGCCCTGAGATAGCACGACATTCATTGAAGCTTCAGCTTTCAGCAAGGACATTGAGCTAGCTCAGATGTAGCACATCCACAAGACGAGCTGCAGAAGCCCATGAGCACATGCTCTTTATCTAGCTTTTACGGAGCCCCCCCCCCATGATTGAATCTAACAACTCTGATCAGAGACGGGGCTGTTCTGAGTAGTGCACCCAGATGCGTTGTCGGAGTTACTCATATGACTCATACTGTTCATAAGAGCAGGCTGTTCTGAGTGCACCCAGACAATGGCGTGGCTCACGTTGGCAGCTGTGCTGATTGTGCTGGAAGGTGCGGCTTTGCCATCTCTGGAGCGTGGCTTGGCCATCCAATCTATGCGAGTGGCTGCTACTTTTTAAAAGCAGGCACCTAATAATCCGTTTCTTGCTGCAATGGTCTGCGAGTGCGGGTAGGCCATAAATCACACGGGTGCCTGCCTCCATGAGGAAACCAGATTGCAGAAGCAGGGCAAGCTCTGGAGACCATCGGCGCAGCGCCTTGCCACAATTTCGAGCTCACTCAGGCATGAACCAGTATGTTACGAGCATCCTGATTTAGTCGGGTCATTTGGATTCATGCTCTATGTTCAAGACGTTTGGATACGGCTCTCTGCTGCCCGGCAAGGTTTTGATCAAAACCAACGGCAGTGCGCTGTCCAGTGATGCCTTCAAGGAGTTGGCTGTGAGCGCTTGGCAGGCACATGTCGTCACGTGTTTTGAGGTTTCCTGATGGTTTGGCCCCAACTCGTGGAGCGGCGTTGATCCACCGAATCATTCTTAGTCAGGCAGAAGAGGAAAAGCCTCTTTGAATTGACAAGCAACAGGCGGCGGGACACCCGAGCGGTACTGAAGAGCTACTCGGCTTTTTCCAAACACTATCAGGCAAAGGGCTTCAAGTCATCTGACTTGATTTGCAAGTATTGGGTTCTGGCTTCGCAGAAGGTTCACCAATTCAATTCGGTCGTTCAAGAAGCCTCCGCAGCGATAGATGCTGCTACGGTTCATTGCAGTTCCATATCTTTTCCGTCGATGCAGATGTTGTTCACCTGCATTCAGAGATGTTTATCTAAGCACTCATTTCGCGCTGTTTGTGGTCAGATGGGCTGTAGGTACAATGGCCCCGGGTCTGTCCAGCGTGCGGAACTGTTCGAGGGCATCTATGACGTGACCCGGTCTGCATCGCTCACCAGGGGCAGGCCTATGATTATCAAGCCCCTCAGTATTGAGCATCCAGCAGCCCAACCTTTCGGATTCGGCGAGCTTCTGCATGTTGAGATCCATAGTTGATAGGTTCGTTTTCCCTGTATGCAGCCCTGGGCAGTGCGGCATGGCAACAAGTTCGGAGCACAGCTCAACGCGTTGAGACATGGGTGCTTACCTGCAATAGCAGGCAAAGTTGGAGGCAAGTCCCAAACGAACGCACACCCAAACTCGTGCAGTGCTGATGCTTTTTGCCTCAGCTGTTAGAGACCCATGAGAGGAGCATCGTCCCAATAAAGCATCACAGAAGTTTTGGGACACCGGCAGCATGAACTTCTTTGTGTACATTGCGTATAAGAGAGACCACCCGTGAGTCAGAAGCTTCTGTAAGCTCACCTTGGTCAATTCAAGCTTGCCTCCTTGGCTGCAATTCGGGAGAAACGACAGTTTGAGCAGGATGCCTTCCTTCCGAATCAAACGCTGCCTGTCACAGCAATCTTTGTTGCTGCTGTGCGCGAGTTAGAAGAGGCTTTCACGGCACACCTAACATGTCAGGTTCTTGCCCAATTGCCCTGCATGGAGTTTGGAAACCTACAATTTAGCCTACCAGGGATTCAAGAGCAGGGCCTGCGCATAAAAGATGCATGGACTCAGGTCAACGCTGGGCGAACGAACTCAATGCCGGTTCCCCCGCACAGCGAGCAATCGTGCCCCAGCAGATTAGCGACACACACATGCGAACATGCGGCGCATGACGGGATTGGAGCCGTGGATGGCACTTGGATGCTCAGGTACTTATATCTCGTGCCCAGATTTGTGGCCTTCACCTGCTTCAAGCCGGCGCAGCTTGGTTAAGCTTTGGGCCTACTGGCCGCTCTTGCATAGAGCCGCGCAAGGCTACGCAGGATCTCCTAAGATAAGCCAAGATTAAGGTCTGAGGGCGGGCACCTGCAGCTCTTCGACAATGGCAAGATTGCTGAGGCGTGTTGTTCTAATCCTCGCACAGATACCAGCTTGCGATTTTTGTGTTGTAACCTCTTGAGCCCTGATGAGGAGTTGCCGCTGCTGGTGCAGAAGCTGAAGCAGCACGAGGTGTTGTACCAGCGGCTGCTGGGGGACAATTCCACCGACAAGTGGCACTATGCCACCGGGCACTGGCAATCGAAGTACGAGACATTCGATTTTGAGTCTGCCCAGCGGAAGGCCGCTGAGGATGCGCCTTGGCAAAGCATGGAGTAGTTTAGCACGTTGGAATTCATAGGCACAGCAGTTCTGGGATTTGCACAATTGGAAAATTCATGCAGCATGTTTCATCCACAAAGTCGGCCGGCCTTTTTCACCTTAAACTCCAAAGCAACATCGTGCTGTACCCACTGCTTTCTTAACAAAGGAAAGATTTGCTGTGAAGACAGGACATTTTGGGTGGCCAAGCTGGATCGACTCTTGAGCGCTACTTGGAGGACGCTGCGCACAGCAAAGTGTCGATGGCGCCGTTTGGATTGGCTAAATGGGAAGGTGGGAGCAGATACCACTTGCCCTGGATACCTTGACTTGAAATCACTTGTCCCATTCACTCGCTTAACCAGGGATAGATACAGTGCACTGCACAAGAGTCTCATAGGATTCGAATGGAGGAGTCCTCAGTTTGAGCAGGTGGCCCCAGGATGCAGCATGTCAAAGAAAGCCAGCAGACAGCAAGGCTTCTGAAGTTCTAAAGCTTGCTGGATAGTTTTTCTACAGGACACGGTGCGCATGGAGTGGACCATACCGGCTGTGACCACAATCGATTCCAAAGATTATATGCTTCATGCCACTTGGTTTTATGCTTACTTTCACAGTCCAGCACTGTTGGCAGGCTTGTTGCAACCAATGATGGCGTATTTGCGGATCGAGATTCATGACTAGCGTGGCTGATGGCTTCATGTCGCATGACTCATCGCGCACAATGCCAGTTTACTGAATCCCTTGATGAGGCAATCTTAGACAACCAGAAAAAGTTCAACGAGAACTCTGGATTGCCACCTTTTCATTCTATGTTCGGCAACCGCGAGGACTCGGATTCCCCAGCACATTCTAGCACCCATGCCACCCACAACGGACTGACCATTCAACTTCCAATTTTGAAGATCAAGCATGTTGAGTTCGGTGGATCTGAAGGGCAAGCTTTCTTCCGGAGTAGGATGTTTTCAAGGCTGGTCTGCAAAGCATAGCTGGGTCAGGAGTTCTCGGACACTGAGCTGGATGCTCTCCGCTCAGCAACACAGAGCTCCTTGTCCCACGAGGTTCTGATGTCCCCGGGAGATGCCTCTCGGCCGTTTGGATTCCTTCAATCATGATGTCATGGGGCTGTGATCGCTGTGCATTAATGCAATTCATGCCAAGTGTTGATCTCGTGTGTATGTGGGACACTTCCATGGCGTGGTTGTCATGAACTCACTCCGGACATGCGCTCAAGAAGCCTGATCATGAAACATGCACTAGGTCATCGTGCTTGACAACTGGAAGTGGGCACACGGAAGGCTTCCCGGCCACACAAGTGACGATGCAAGTTTACAGAGAGTATGCCTACCTCCGTGGATCGTCAAGCCATAGCATTCAAAGACTTGTAATCAGCTGGTATCTCTGACACCCTAAGTTGGCAGAAAGCAATCGTGCTGGCAGTACTAGGACATAGGATCTGGTTGAGCACTGCGAAGTGCCTATGCCGGCATGTACGCCTGCACTTTCCCTATCCTGCAAGGTGTTAAAGACTACCTTCGCACTCGACTGTAGCACCTTAGACCGAGCAACGGAACTAAGGAGGCCGTATGTGGGACATCGCGTGCATGGCAGTGTCATCTCCGATCGGCGGCCAAGGTCCACCACCCCGAGCCTTTGCAGAAAATTTATGTCAAAAGCCTACTTTTACCCTATTTCTGGGGGCACAAGGTATGCGCTGGATTGGGAACCAGACATCGCTATCACATCGTCTAGATGATGCATTCAGCATGGAGACTCCCCAAGATCATATGGGTTCTGGAATCTGAGGAGGTGTTTGGGTATGGGCTTAGGAGTTGCTGGCTGTAAAGCTGAGGAAGGGGCGAGAGGAGCTTTGAGCTGCTGCTTTTCCAGCACTGACTCTGCTTGTGCACGTGCTGCACGTGCTGCCAAAATGAGGGGTCCTGTATGGTCCTGTGGAAGTGCTGAAAAAGCTGAAAGCCTGGAGAGACGGAGACAGGTTGGCTGCTTATCATAAGGACTTCACTTCTAAATGAGGAATCTTCAGCCGGTCAGTAAGAGCCCTGCCATGACTCAAGCTGAGGTCTCATGGGGGTCCGAGAAGGGGCTTTGGGATAAGGACACTTCTCGAGGAATCCACCGGCTTCGGCACTTCGGCCCAAGCATGTTAAGAAAAGGATGAAATGGGCATGCAATGGATGCAATGCCCTCAAGTGGATCGGACAGATGTGTCAAGGCGAGGGGCATAGCTACTAAATCACACAAAGTGTTTGTCAATAGCAAGGTACCTTGGTCAAACAAGCATTGTGCAAGTTACTCCAAACTTGAATCCGATCCACTTGCGGTCTGAGCATTGCTTGACGGATTCGATCTGGATCCAACAGCGAGGACCCAACTTACTAGAAGGTGGATGATCGGAGAGGGCGTGATGGAGCCAAGTGAAGAAACTACGTTTTTAATAGGCAGAATAGTACGGTTAAATTGGAGTCCGGCTACTTCATCCGCACAGTATAGGTACACGATCGACATTTGCGCTGGCGGAGTTACCCTGTGGAACGGTATTCCCTTGGTATGTTGAAAGGGACAACAGATACTCTGCTTTCATGTCGAGCACCTAATCCCAAGCAGCAAGTCAGGATTAGCCGCTGGCAAGCATGCAGAAGCTGCGTCTTGCAAGATTTTCTCTGTCTTGCTGCCAGGAGCCTGAGCGCTTGAGGCTAAAAATGACATCTGGACTTGGCTTGGCTGCTGTGCTCTTGGCTCACAGGCCGTGACCTGAGATTGACCCATCCTCCCGCTCACAGTGCTTCTCAGCATTGCTGCCAGGAGCCCCTTCTCATTCAAGAAGATGCCCAAGGTGCGCAAATTGCAAGGTCGTGGAAATGCAGATCTGTGGAACAGTGCTGAAATTTGGATGTGAGCTTGAGTAGTGACCGTTCTGGGCCAGGTGACCAGTTCCATTGCTACTGGGAAGGATAGTCTGTGCAGTTCTGCCAGTGACAGGGCAAAGACCGTCAGCTTTCCACATCAGAGACCACAACCGCACCAATGAGCAGGCTTCGTGTTTTTTTTGCAGATTGTCTGTCCACATGTACAACGCAGTAGGGCAGCGAAGGCTGAGGAATGACGGAGGATCTTTTGTATTCCAGTGCTTCAAGCTCGCAGGAACGTGACTGAGGATGGCTCGCCGCAAATCATGGAGGAGCTCAATGGCGTAAACGTGATGCAAATGATGTTTTAGGTGAAGATTCTGAGAAGTCGAAATCACCATCCTGCAATGCTCACGCATCCCGCAGCCCGTGGGTGCATTCAATCTTGAGCGATCTGCAGGAGTTCGATGATCTGACTGAGGACAACATGACACCAACCCTGAGCGAGGCCAAGCGTTTAAGAAAAGCCCCCTTTGTCAGTTTGCTCCTTTTGTGTGGGTAGGATATCCGGAATGCCTAGAGGCTGACATCTTGCATCGAGCAAAGCAGGTCTGTCAAATCAGAGTCTAAAGCCCTCAACTGAGTTGGGGAGAGCGGTTTTGCTTGCAGTGACATACAGCTTGTTCTGCAGGTGCTGGATCTGAGCAGGACACTGCCGGCATGCACTGGGACTTCGGGTGCCTAAGTCAAAAAAAGGCTACTCGTTAGACTCCAGAAGGATCCGTAAGGACTGTTGTGACAGATTTGCAACTTGTAGAGTTGTGATAAGGGGAACGTGCATGATTTCCTGCAGCAGTTGCAACATTTTTGGATATGGAAGCCACCAGTCCATCACGGGCCTGCCATGCTGGATGCAACCTAAGCCAAAAGGCTGAAGAGAAAAACGGATGTGCAGAGGACTCCCCACGAGGATGCCATGGCAACCTTGCCGCCCTGGGATTCCTCGAGGTCCTGCAGCAAAGTATACTCTGACGATCAGACATCGGGTTTGCATCTCGAAGCTGGACTCTCCAAGTAGGCAGCCGCATTGTCAAGACAAAGAACGCGAAGCCAACAATTGAACGGCTGCAGGTACCAAATGCTTCACATTCTGCGAGCGGCTTCACGGAATTGGCTGAGTGGCTTGGAGCAGACATGAAAAGACAAGATAGAGTTGCGGGGTGTTTGATACTTAACCAGGTTTAGCACGCTTCTCGGCCAGTGTGTATCCATTGGTTATCCTGTGAGTTTTGCCTCGAGGTCAAATCGAGATCCACTACGACAGCCGCGACAAAAGGCACAGATTTGCCACTAGGTTCGGGCCATGCGCTACGTTGGCGTTTCAGGGCACATTTTGTGTAAGTGGCCTTGCCGGCATTGAGAACGCAGGTGGTTGTGCATGTCGTAGGTACCCGGGTTTGTTTCGGCTTCACCGCCAAAGGCTGCACTTTTGCAGGAAGCAGCAAGATTCAAGAGGTAGGCTTAGACGTAGATGAGAGAACCAGCCAGCTAATCTTTTGATTGTTCCTGGCAGATTCTCAAGTCAGGGAAAATGGTTTCTTTGTAGCATCAGGTCAGCCAAAGGGGCTTCAGGAATTTCTCCATTTTGTTTACGACAGCTAGCCTTTGGGGATATGAGCTAGTAAGAAAATGTGCGGGGTGACCCGAGTCATGTGGCAGTTTTGGCCATATTGGGAGCTAGACCGCGTACTGGGCAGGGATTGGGCCGTCCGCTTGGACGGTTATTTTGGGTGTTCATATGGAGGGGTTGAAGGCCTCGCTTGGCAAAAGAACACGTGATATCGAGAGCAGCATCCCTGTCCTGCCATAATAGCAGTAGGTCAGCAGTCCCATATCTACAGTGCTGCAAGACATTGCAAAGAGTTTTCGATTAGGTCGTGGGTTTCGGGGCGTCTTCAAAATTTGCTGATGCCTTCGAACGAAGAGTCGCGTTCAGAGCCCGAGCGTCGAGACTAGAGCGCGAAAAGGGTCATGCCTTTCAGTGTACACCCTAGCTGGCACCTGATCTAGCTTTTGTTCCAGCCCCTCGCCCTCAGAGCTTCCTCCGTTTTCTTTTGACTGAGCCACTGCCGCGAATCCACATGAACCAAGACCCAAGGCAGCTGACTAAAATGGGCCTGCAGATCCATGAGTTCAGTAACCTACAATGGCCAGCGCCCTTGCCAGGGCCGTCCCAGTGAAGCGCTTCACTCCGCAGTGGCCCGAATCTCAGAAACAGTAGGGCGGTAGAGCAGTAGAGCCTTTGGACGGCCATATATGAGAGCTTGCCAAGGTTCCAAGCGCAGTCACAGGCGGTTTCAGCGCTGAAGGCTGGGCCTTCAAGCTGGTTCTGGTATGTTTTTTGAATCGTTCTCCATCAACCGTGAGATCTGAAGAGAGTTCTTGAAATTGACAGGACATCCTTATGCTTGAGCGCTCGGGCGGCGAAGCCCTCAGAGCAGAGCGCTCTTTAGGTCTGTGACAGGCGGTCTGTGGGCACGTTCAGCTGGAAGATCAGTCTCAAAACTGCGCATCCAAGGAGTTGCACCTCCGTTCCCAGCTGAAAGCTGGTGCTCAGGTGCATACAAGGCAAGCCCTGAGGGGCTTTGATTTGCTGGATGGCATAGAAGGTAGCACATTGGTCCGCTTGCTCACCGCTTTGTCGTGCTGCTCTTATTTTCCAGTATGCAGACATCTTATTTGTGACAGTCTTTTTCATTGATTTGCAAGAATTCAACATGACAGCAATGCGCCGATGAGACACCCAATACCAGCTTTGAATTTTGATTCGAGCTTGTTTCTTCCAGGACTCTGCCAGCGGTGCAGTTCTGCTTGTCTGCGAGCAGGCCTTCAGGGATTTGAAGCACGCTGCCGCAAACACCGCAAGCAGCAAATCCCAACTCATCTCTCGATTTATTTGGGAGATGTTCCAAGCTTCTCCGCTGTACGGACAGTAGCGCAGCACTTACACTGGGACAGCATACCAAGTGCCTTGGTGGCTGTGCTTCATGGCAGGGATTCTGGCAGCCTGAGCTTCGTGGCTCGTTGGCAGGAGCTCGGCGACAGTCTCTTTGACTTCTGCACGACGCTGCCCAATGCTGGGGGCGAACGTGAGGCGGAGGCGCTGGCAATCCTGAGGCCAGGCGTGTACATGCTTTGGCCTTGAGGGTGAGATGTCTCGGCTCACGAGTGCTAGAGGTCTCTTATCCAAGCCACAATGGACTTGGACTCCCTGGGTTTGGCGCTGCTTGGACGATCTCAAGAGCTCACAGCCGGTGAACAGTTGGGACTTGGGAATCATGGGAAGGGAGTTGAGCAGATTGTCACTTCGGCTTCAGCCTAGGCATGGCCGCATTCGGGCTGAAAACACTTGGCTCCAGCAGCTGCCGAATGGGGATTGCAAGGCATTTGTGACATTTGTGATTTGATGTTCCTAGGCTTACGGGGCCCGATGTAGCGCAAAAGTTTGAGCTCTTGACACCCTGGTTGTCTCCATTCGTTGTCCTTGCGAGCAAGTTATGTCATGACGCAGCATCAAAGCGTCCTCGCACATACTAGCATGATGGAACTTGCGTTGCCAGCTCTGACCCCCCCCCCCCTCATTTCCTGGCAATGATGTTGCAGGTTTTGCTGTCCGATTTTGGAGAGTCGCGTGGCCTGGGGGACAAAGGCACAGGATGGGCATGCTAGCAGTATGAGCAGTGAAACGCTTATCAGACGTTCAAGACAAGCAGAAGAATGTCAATCGAGAACACATGTGCAGTTGAGATTCTTCAAGCAGCATGTGCTTGCTTGGAGCTGAAGACCAGCCAGTAGCCACATGGACATGTGTGTGTGAGTGCGCACGCAAGATGCAGTTTGAAGATGTGCACCTTGGCACGTCAGGCAGTGATGCCATGTTCTTGGCACCTGAACTGGTTGAGGGCTCCCCGCAGCCCACTCATGCAGGGGTTGCCCGACATCGACAGTCCATTCTTCTGTCTTCGTACGAGGATAACACATTCTAAGAATTGGGAATTCCCGGATGGGGCTGTTTCAAACCCAACTGCAACCTGCGGCAGGAAGTTCACTGTTCTGTCAGGAACCAGGATGAGCATAAAGCTAGCTGAAGTGAGTGTTAAAGGCATCCAGAACTGCCCGACGCTGCGCTAGTTACAAGCGCTTGCTGTCATACAGATGGCCCCCGACACACAGCGCTGGCGCCGAAGCAATGTTTTGTGTACTCCAGAACAACCTTGCTTCGATTTGGTTGCATTTGTTTACATTAGGTTGGTTTCCAACATAAGCCAGTAAGAATAATGCAGGGAACCTAGGCTGTGTTATTGCCTTACACCACTGAACTTGGACCAGTTCTTTCGCCGTTGCCCGTGATTTCCACATAGATTCATCTGAGGACCTCTTCTCATGTGGCGTTCTGGGATATGCTCTGGCCATGGGGCGGTATCCATGGCAGCCTGTCTTGACTAACTACTGAGCGTTTGAAGCGTGAAGACAGGAGCTTTTCTGGACCAAGACTAGTTGATACTGTCGCACGGTACTGTGTCAGAGTGCGGCGATGGCAGGTTCGGCAGGGCGTTGGCATGCATGTGCCATACGCTGCCTAAGAGTTCCACATTTGAAAGCTAGCGTTTCGGAGAGAAGTTGCTGAGGTTCAGCACACGGCGCAGGTCTCAGATGTGCTGCGTGCATTCCCAAACCTCAGCACCTTGCCCACAGCACCTGCTCAGCGGGACAGCGCTCTTGAGTGCTTAAACATTTCAAAAGCTTCACTTGGCTGTTTCAAGCGAAACAGGAAGCTTCTCTGACGGTCTCAGAACGGTTTTTGGCGCTATGGATTGTGGGCCGAGGCCCGGAAAGTGCAAGACCTTCTCCTTTGCCAAAAGCCATGGTGTGCAACTGGGCTGCAGCAGCTCTCCACACCTCTTGACCCTAAACCCAGTGCATTCCGCCTTGGAGAAGTGCTGAAGGCAAAGTCTCCTCGGCGACCGCCGATGCCCAGCCTCCAAGGCGAGAGGGTTGGAATTAGTGGAACGGAACCCTCAATTAGAAGCCTGTCAGGCTACTGAGGCCGCTGGCTCATCATGGGATGCCGTTAGGGCGCTTCTAAGTTTCGAAAATTGGCTGAGCTGTTCTTGACTGCATCTGAGTGCCCGCTTTCCCTGTGCCAACCAATCTTGAGCTGGTGATGCATGGTGAAGCATAGCTGCTGAGTATGGTGGCCTTGCAAGCTGTGTCACCTTTTCGACGGTTCTCCAATCAGCAATGATACAAGATCATGCCTCATTGAATTTGATCCTCCTATGGCCAGGAAGGGCGAATGTCATCAGAGTACAAGGTGCCGCTACCTTGCCTGTTTGCCATGTGCATATGAACCAAGCTTGTAATTACTGCCTTTGCTCATGAAACTGTTGGCACACGACATGGAAACAGACCGCCTTCTGCAATCCCTTCCAGAATTCTTGAAGCCAGCTTGTGCTTTCACACGCAGGCTTGCGATTCAGACCTTGAAATGAAGGTTCTCCCATTCAGGTGCAGAGGTAATTCCATGAAGCACGAAGCTACCACCTGAAGACATGCGGCAGACATGAGACCTGTGGACAGTTGTGCGACCAGGAAATCCTGGGCTGCCTCCTGGACGTGGATCCAGGTGCCTCTCCCAAAACAAAGTCTGAGGTACATACAAGGTTCACAATGCCTGCGAACTGCGATTTCAGCCGCTGAACTTTTGCTGACATCCCAGGCATCAGGCAGCAGAAGGCAATGTCCATGCGGGTGACCTTACCGCGGCCTAGCGTCAATTCAGCTCTGCGCTTTCCTTCAACATTTGTGGCAAGCCACTAGCTAAGGCACCCCGTGCATCCGCCGCATCCAGAGCCCTAGAGTCCTAGAGCCCAACGCACATCCGGATGTGACGTGCGAGGCAAGGTTAGGCAGCATGATTGCATTACCTTGCACTGATTTCGAGGATCTCAGCGAAGAGAGACAGTTGAGTGATTCATATGAGTACAGCAGCTGACAGTACGCTTGACGACATCAGCCACGCCAGACTCCATGCATAAGCGTTGATTCCACCTCATGCTTTCCTGCTGCCAGGTTGCACGCCTTTGTAAATTTCCTGTTGCCTGAGCGCTGAGCGTGCGGCTCAACGCTGGGCATTTCGCAACCCGTCGGAAGCCACAAAAGCCATTGCAGAAGAAGTGTCGGAGAGATCTACACTATGATCTGTCACTACACACATTTTTTCCTTCTTCTCAGTGTTATTTGCTTTATGACTGTTATTCAAAACACAGCGCTTTCCGGGCTCTGACGGCTGGCACAGGAGGTCTGATTTCTTTGGAAATCTGGCTGCCTCGTTGTTGCGGGGAAGTTTGCCTAGCCGGAAAGCTGGAAGCAGGGAAGCAGCTGACCTGCGGTTTGAAATGTGGCCTGGCATCTAAGTTTCTTCCACACTCACAGGCAAAGTCGTTATTGCAACAATGCAAAATGCAAAGCTAAGTTGAAAGCTAGAAGGCGGACAAATTTCTGCAACAACTCTGTCTCGTACCACGCGGGCTAACTCCAGTCAGTGCATAAGAGTCGAAGCGTGAAATTGGCTTTGAGTCTGACGAGTTGGCCTTTGCGGGGCGAGCATGCTGCAAGCCGGGCCGGTCGCGAACGTCCGCTCGCGCTGGCCTGGAAGACCTTGGACGCGGCTTTCAACGCAGATGTAGGAAGGATGGTCGGGCTATGCATTTGGCAAGTTTCCTGCATGCTGTTCTGGGCAGGAGCTTGAACCCACGCAAGATAATACCTGCCTCCTTGCCTTCTGCAGAAGTCCGGCATTTGCTACCCGAAATGCAACAGTCAGGCCCCCTGAGGCCCGTGGTTGCAGACTGGAAGCCAGCCCACCTTCAGAGACGCGCAGTTTACGGTTCGAGGTATTTCGAGGTTATGTAAGCTTCTGGGCTGGTGTTGGCGTCTGCAGCATGCCGTGCACCTGGTTTCCCGTGAGAGGCAGCACATGTTCTTCAAGGCAACTCAAGCAGCTCCTGTCACATTTTGCCAGAACTGGGGTTTTTGGTCATTCTGGTGATGTGACGTGATGTGGGGACACTAAGATGGGGCTGTGTAGGATCGCATTCATTGTGACCTCAGTGTCTAATCTGCAAATCATGTCTCTCACGCTGATGCACGCGCGGCTTACTGGGCAAAGCAGCCCTGGTGGCCCCCTTTGTGGTGTTTCTTGGACTCGCTGTTATAGGGGCTTGTGATGTTTCGTTGGGTCTGCTCACGGTCCAATACTGTTCTAATTTCCTCAATTCGTGGGATGTTCCAAAGAAGTCACAGAGTGCCCAGACACGTTCAGCCCAGCTCGTGAAGGTCTCTATTGCAAGAGCGCAGATGAGGAATGATACGGAACGCTCAAGCTCGTAGTTCTTTTCAAGGTTGTACAAAGCTCATTGTAGTTGTGGGCTTGGGGCTGGGAATTTGAGAAGTCATGGCTGTGGTCCCCGGTTCTGTTTGAGCTCTGTGGCTTCTAGAACCTTCGTTGCAGGGCCGCGGTTTCAGTTTCAACAGGAGGCTGGCAGTCAAATGCTTGCACTGCCCCGGGAGCCAGTCTTTTGGACCCTTCATCTTGAAATCAGCCGAGCAATCAGACACTGCACAGCACCGTTCTCATCCCAAGCTTGCTCCTGGGTACAGGGAGTGTTCGCTCACAGTGCACTGGCTGCATCTTCTCCACGCGGGCCCTGGAGCATGCCGCGCTCGCAGAGGCTCCTTTCGGGCCGCCGCAGCTGCAGGGGACAGACTGGGAGAGTCATTAGCCGCAAGGGCTTTATGCACAGCGGCTCTAGCTTCGGTAAGTAATTGATGGAAATGGAAATTTGATGCTGCCCCTGAAAGCTGTTGGAAGTGAGGATTGAACAGAGACTGACAGATGCCAGAACTAGAGCCTAGCCGGCGTAGACAACATGAACCTCAGTGGCTAACCTCGCAAAGACGACAGCCTGTCACCTCCATGCCAACAACGGAACCTCCTCCTCCTAGCAGGAACCCAAGCCCGATGTTGTAGCAGTACCTAAACCTGACGAAGCCTGCAGAGTGCTCACATTCAGCAGATGAGCAGTTCTGACATCAATGCGCACCCTTGCCGTTGACGTGGTGCTGAACTTGGTTCCGTGAGGGCCTTGGACTTTTCTAAGGTGCAGGCCGCTTTGGCCAAACATGTAAGCTTTGAAGAGGCTATATTAGAAAATTGAAGGCTTTGTGCTGCGGTTTAGCTGTGCCTGCATGGGTAGACACTGGAGCCCGTAGACACCGTAAACTTAATTCCGCCTGCTGCCGAGGAGACCAGCCCAGTGGGAGCTGAAATTCCACAGAAGCCGTGGGAGGGGCGGGAGGTTTCGACAAAGATGTTAGCAGTTACGACGTTACGATTCCTGCAGCATTTGGAAAACTCTGCGTGGTTTTTATCAGATGCCATGGCATCAAAGTTCAGAAACTTTACATTCTGAACCTCCTCCCCAGCCCACGCAGACTCGCGCTTGAGAGCGTCAAGCTCACAGCGCTTAGCTCCATCGGGCGGTATCTTGCGAGTCCAGGGCCCATGTTCGGAAACTCCATAAGTCTTTTGAAGATGATGAAGTTGCAGGCAGAAATTCTCTGAAGGGGCGGTAATCAGGGAACGTAGCATGCATTGTGAAGATGGGTGCGGACCTGTGCTCTCACAGGATCTTCATAGTGGTGGCCGAAATCATATCAGAGCAGCAGACCAACTGTTTCACTTGGACTGGCGGCGATGATATCGCAAAAATGACTTATCCAAGATCGCACCTGAAGCTGTACAACTGTGCAGTATCCAAGCATCATATGCAACAAGATTGCCTTCGCCTGCATGGCACGGCACGACACCCGGAGGCGAAGACTGCCTGCTGTGCCAGCAGTCGGGTGTCAAATCCTGCTCCGCCGGCCCAAGTTGAGTTTCCTTATCGCATGTTCGCGACTCTAGTGCCACACAAGTCCACGGGCTCTGAACCGTGCCTGAGAAACGGAGTCTATGGCAGAAAGCTGTACAGCTGCATTTGGCTACATCACCAAAGGTTGTGTAAGTTGCAGCTATCAGACCTTTGGGTCCAAAGTTCTGCTTGGAGTGCTAGTTACAGCAGAACGTTCAGAGAAAGGGTTTTATGCTTGGACAAACTAAGCTTTGCACACCGAGCGGTTTGGTGCACTTATGTTTGGACTGTTGCCTGTTGTTTTTTTGCAGAGACCGCTCTTCAAAGACAAGCTAGCCCAAGAGCTATTTAAAGATTTGATAGCCGAAGTCCGCATTCTTCCCATTCAGAGCCCTTGCCACTTCTGGTCAGGGAGCCTCATGGTTGCTGCAGAAATTAGCGTTGGAATTTATACTGCAAAGCATTGGTTGGAGTTCTGCAAGTTTGCCTCGTGTTGGTCGAGAGCGTCAGTTAAAGCATCAAGGGTTCGCCAGCGGAGGTAATTGGTCGGGAGTTTCAGGTTCAGGGCGCCTCGCACGAGGTAATAATTTCAATCATGAAGCTGGAACTGATCGCAGCTCTTTTGTGGGGCTCTCTCCCTACCAGCATCAAGGTCACAAAGGCCATTCAGCACAACTGACTGTCATAGAGGATGGCGAAAAAGTAGTCATGTCGTGCCAGAACCGATGCGGGCAGTCTGCAAGATCAGCTGACGGCGCGGGACAGACGTTTTGCTTTCACCCACCTGAGCTTCTGTTCTGATGCAGCCCAGAAGGGCCCATAACGTAAGATGCATGCCGAACACCAGCATGATTTTTGACGTCTGTGTCCCGGGGTGCTTAGCCACTTGGCCCAACTTTTTGAAGCAGCGGTCCTTGCTTCATGTGTCATGGATCAGGGTTGCAGAAGTTGTTGCGATGAAAGGGGTGTAGACCATCGCGAAGCATCTTGTACCTTGCAAAGGTGCCCTTTCCTGACAGGTCTCAAGCCGCATCAAGTCGCGCCAGCTTCATAAGCATGAAATCGCCAGGGCTCTCAGAGTCTCAGAACAGGCACGCGGCCTTCCATGTCTCTGAACCATGGAGCCATTACAGCCAGATGTGTACCAAGGCAGGCTGCAATGGTAGCTGCACTTCCGAAGGTGCCGTAGCGTGCTATTGAATGCTATTGCCTGCAGGAGGAAGTTGGGCTTCCGCACTCTCAGCCGAGGAGCTGGTGGAGGCCAACTCAAGGAGTCAAGCTACACAAGCTACGTAGCTCAAAACCTTTTCTTGCCAGGCCAGGAGGGAGAAGCTGCAGCACCTCGCGCTGTGGCCAAAGCTGAACTCAGCTAATCTGTATCAGGTCCGGCTGCCTGTGTGTGCATATTGCGAATTCATGCTTGTCCTGACAGGTAACGGTTTCAGATGTGCAGGAGTTGTTCGCCATCTTTGATGTCGAAGGTGGGGAGACATAAAAAGAGTGGACATTTTGATGCTTTATGTGAGCCAACGAAACTGCTTCCAGAGGGCTTTCTGTTTTGATGCTAGAAGTCTGCAATGACGAAACTGCTGAGACGGTGGAAAGGCACTCTCTCTTTCTTTAACGTAGAGCTGGTTGTATATTGAACGCTCATTGAACATGATTCGAGCAACAAGTAAAGAGTAATGTTGGATCAGACAGCCCGAGCAAGTCAAGCAGGCGGTCTCTTCAGGGGTTTCGGAGTACTCGCTTCAGTGTGTGCAAGTACGACATGCTCCTTCCCCCTCTGCTTATTCGCGCAGCAAACAGTATCTGGGGCATTCTGGGGCTGCGCCGCTTGAACCCTTCGGCTATAAGCCGGACTGTGAATTAAGAAAGGGTGCGGTGAACTTTGTGTTTACTGTTGAGTCTGCTTGAAGTTGGATGTGGATTGGCAAAATCATCCCACCCCATGGTTAAATGTCATGCGATTCGTGCGGGAACGCTATGTTATGTAGTTGCCGCATAATTTCAATGAGTTCGAGGGCCAAAAAACGTGATCCGTTTTTCTGGTCAGACAGTCAGGCCGGAAAGTGCAGACAGTTCAGACAGCCAGTCACGAAAGACATACGGTCAGACAGTCAGACGTGACAGGCAGACAGTCCCCTTTCGCGTCTGACTCTCTGATTGTCTGCCTTTCATGTCTGACTGACCCTATGACTGTCTGCCTTTCACGTGTGACAGTCTGGCCAGTTGCCTTTCCCGTCTGACTGTCTGCCCTCTGCGGGCCTGACTGTCTGACCGACTGACTGTTTGTTCTGCGGGTCTGACTGTCTGCCTTGCGGGTCTGACCGTGTGGCCGATTGTTTGTTTTGGATTTCGGGACCCAAGCGACTTCCAGAAATGACGGTCTTTGTCTTGTTCTTGCTTGCCGAGGCTCTGGAGGCGGGCGCCTGATTTTTGAACAGGTCTCTGCCCTCGACTTGTAGCTCCGTGCGCACTGCCACAACGCCTTCGTGCGAACCTGGTTTGTGCGCGGAGCTACAGATTCTGGAATGCGATGATTGAGCAAGCTCCAGAAACTGACTTGGACGAATGGGGCGTAGCTTCGATTAATGGGGCAACCATAAAGCCTAGTCGGAAGTCCTCACACCCTTGGACTAGTGACGAATGATGCTCGAAGCTTGAAGCTTGACTCATGGGGCGACAACAATTGAATCAGAACTCTGCGCGCACCCTTGGACTGGACTGCTGGGGCGACCTTAAAATTCAATCAGAACTCCGTCCGCGCCCTTGGGCCGGACTCATGGGCCGAAGCTTGGACTACTGGGGCTTCAGCTTGGACTAATAGGCTTGCACAACGATCATTTTGTAACTCCTAACACCCTTGGACTAATGTGGCGAAGCCTGGGCTCATGGGAAGACAATATTATCATGGCTCGGGCATGGATGCTTTGGTTTTCGGATGCTCTGGAGCATGGACGTCAATATGAACTGGGCATGGATGCTGTGATGATCGAAAACGCTTGAACATGGACGACCTCAGGGGTTGGGCATGAATGCGCAGACTCAGATGCTCGCGAACATGCACGATGTTACAGCCTCCCCGATCCCATTCCAGAAAGATGTGGCAAAACATGGGATGGTAATCCATGCGCTCGCAAAATCATGTCATTGGCGCATGAACGCCTGGAGGTTCAGGCGAGATCTCCATGGAAGAGCTCATGGAAATCAAGAAGGCAGGAGAGACTCTCTGCCTCAGGTCTGTGCGCTTTGTAGCTGAGACTTTGCGAGGTTCAGGGTCTGGGACTCACCAAAGACGACATTGCTGCTTTAGGCCGGCGGCTGGTTTTTGATCGCCAATGCTCACAGAGACTGACTGCGTTTGAAAACTCGTGTGCACCTGGCCTCCGGATTGCGGGTGGCAACCAGGCGAGGAAGTTGAATCATGACCAAAGCCTGAAGCCAGCAAGTATGGAACTGTGAAGCTTTGCAATGAGGAACTCGCACCAGATATTGAGGAAGAAGCTCTTGCCAGAAATCTCCAGAAGAGAAGTCCGAAACTTGTAATGTCCATTATTACCTAGGTCCTTTTGTATGGTCAGGGCGAGATGCTGACAAAGATGGCTCTGGCCTCATCAGCGTGAATGAGCTCTACAAAGCCTTCATTCAGGGGGAGGCTCAGTGCTTTCCTACTGCCATATCTGCTACGTAGGTGGCCTAAGCAGGTTCACGAGGGATTCTGGCAGCACACTCTTCCTTTCTGTTCCATGTCGACTCACATAGAGCTTGGCATGCCAGGTAGCATACAATCTCATCAAGAAGTCGATCAATGAAGAAAACAAGGTACAACATCTCGCGGAGGGGGACCCTCATTGCAAAGTGTGTATGGTAGTGAGATGCCCGTGGGGTTTTGCGGAGTTGTGGTTTCCCAAGAAGGGGGTGCTTGGGCAGTTTGTTTCTTTCGGGCATAGATCAGCAGCAGACGTTCCATATCAACCGTGCCGCAGCCAAGGAGTGTCTGATAGACGACTTGATCGATTGGATGAGGCGAGCAGCCCTTGCAGCAAAGAACATATCGGACGTTGGAGTCTTCATCATTGGTGCTGATTTTTTTGTCACTGTTGACGTCCATAACCCTGCCAGAGATTGAAATTAAGTGGATTATATCGGGCTTCGTCGCCACTTGACTGTTGCATGTTTTTGAATGCTGCGCTTTCCAGAGTGATGCCTGTGGATCAAACGGTTGAAGGTAGGACGGCTGGCGACTCCTTAACCGACAAGGAAAAACGTATATGGCAATGCAGGCAGTTCTGTAGCCCGCAAGAAGTGATGCCAAGGGGCTGGGAAAGCCTGTTGTACGCCTTGGTGGCATTGAGCCCTTCTCCTTGAACAAAAGTGCTGGCCAGCATGCTTTGCCTCGACTGAGGATGGTTGCCAACAGCTAGCTGCATCTTGAAAACTGCGTGATGTGTGGGCCAAAGCAAATCTGACTTTTTGCTGCCTGTGCCTGCAAGGCAAGAATATGAAACCAATGCAGCCTCTTGGCAAACACCGTAGGCTGTGCCTTCTCTGTACATGCCATGGGCAGGGTTCGATATATACTGGACACGCTGAATCTCAGTCCCAGACAGATCCGAGGATTTGTGGTCCTTGCCTCAGACACTGCTGCTTTTCTGCGTCTTTCTCTACACGGCCAGCTCTCACTTGCCCATGCGAATTTGGGCCGCAACTTGAGAAGGGGTTGCATAATAACCCAGCGCTGGAGGTTTATGGCCTGGTGCGCCGCACACGGCTGTATGTAGGTTCTTGTTGGGAAAATGAACAGAGGAAAAATGAATGCTAGCAAAACGATAAGATCCAGATTTGGAAAAGCTGTGACAGGCAAATGGAGTGATAAGAATATTTCGGTTCAAGAAGCAGAAGTCTGTTTCTAAGCAATCCTGCAGCAGGCTTCTGGGCTCCGGCAGAAGCTTTGATGAAGCATTGGTATGTTGCGGGTATGGTGACGTTCTTTTCAGTTGAGAGCACCGCTATTCTGCTCAGAGGTCATCCGTGGTTGCCTGTCCATTTACCTTTGTAAGCCACAATGGCAGCTAGATGCCGTGGACTCAGCCGCACAAACGCTCTGGCCAAAACAGACTGAAACACCAACATCAAATAGAGGTCATGCTGGACAGTCTCAATTGCATCTGCACATCTCGCAACTCAAGAGCCCGGCGCAACTTGAGGAGCTGGCTGGGAGATTGCTGAGAACTATCCAGACGCCTGGCCAATGAGATGAACCTGTTGTTGGTCATGTTGAAATCCTGGTGCTCAACTTTGATGGTTGCAATGGGCGAACTTGCAGAAGTAAAAGCAAGTGCGGCAAATGCTGTTGCCGTGAGAACCGCCGGGATGCCTGTTTCTTTTTTTTTGTGCGTGGTCTGCGCAGCTCCTCAGACCCAAGAGTAGACCGGTTCCATTTGACCCAGGCCGCTTCACTGTTCGGCCAGGCCCTTAAATTGCTTTAGACCTTCGCCCAGGCACATCTGCTTGGAAGGTCAGCATGACCCGCTTAGGCTATTACCGCCTTGCGTGGCTTTATGATCGACTGTCGCTGATGGATTTTTTGGTGACAACCTGGATTGATCAACATCTGAACCAGGACAGGGTTTAATACACGTTTAGAGTAGCTTGTACTGTGAAGCCAGAAGATCTTGCTTTGCCTTATCACTCGGAGGATCAGAATCTCTACACCCCTGGCCGCTATTTCGGTCGAAATCAGGTCATTGGCGGCTTCCGTTTCAGGTGGAAGGGTTTTGCAGCAGCTCGTACTTCGAGCTTTAATTTTGGGGCCCGCCAATTCCGCAGAAGGCTCTGTGCGAGCTCATTGCTGTAGACTCTTCCGAGGAAATCGAGTAAACCGTGTCGACCACGTGTAGATTGTTGTGGACCACATTTCAAGACTTGCAAAAGGCGGTTCTATACTACACCACAGAAGTGCAGCATGCCGACATATCTGGAGCGGAGCCTTGCTGCAGACCATGTGAATACAGTTCTGGACCAAGCGCACCTTCCATGAGGGTGTAATCTTGCAAGACTGCTGCTCTGGAATTGTTGATGTTTCACAGCATGTGCGGCTCGTTGTCTCATGAGGCAGGTTTTCGTGCAAAGAGGACATCAAGCATTTCCTTCTTTTGAATCCTGCTTGTCTTCGAGTTTTGCAACATCCGAGCAGACGCCACATTGAAGCGCTCCAAGATGCTGAAGAATTCCTGAAGCCTTGTGAGACTGAGGGTCTACTACCCATTTCCGCGACTGGGCGTGCCCCAGGTGGGTAATGAGCCTCCTGGTGAGCCTTGTCTGAAGGTATTGCAAGCAAAGTTGACAGGACGTAGCATCGGACAGGTGGTGAGCCTCGTGCACACTCTGTTCAGATGGGCATTTTCTAACGTTCCTGAATGTTTGCTCGAATTACATTTCGAAGAATCGTCCACATATGCAAAGCCTCATGGGTTTTTGCAGCCAGAACTGTTTGCCTCTTGTCAGCAGGAGACTCCTTTCTTAGGGGAGTGTTAAGCAGTTTTGCAAGATTTGAGAAGGTTCTGTGGCCAGCCTTAAAATGGAGGCAGGAACATGACAAGTTGCGCTGTTCTCCTCAAAGAGGGCTTCATGAACTTACACACGCTGCCCACGCTGCCAAGCTGGCCGCGACGAAATTTGAATTTGCGGTTTCTATAAACCCTCACGTCTCATGAAGCCAGGCCATGAATCCGGCCTAAGCCCCTGCACGGCATTTGCACAAGCAGCGGTGCAGGGAAGTGGTATCTTGCAAGGCCTAAGATGAAAAAAGGCCAGAAGATGCTCTGTTGGCAAGCTTCGTCCAAGGTGCCCTGCTACAAGTTCGGTGCTGAAGCTTTCGAGGATAGGTGGATCCTGTACCATGAAAGACGCTTGGCTACTCAGTTGTCTTCACAACCTGGGATGAGAGCCCCGCAAGCCTGCCAAAGATCACCACCGACCTGATCTGAGTCTTTGATCTGTCAGACTTAACTGTGCGAACCACTGCCCATGACAAAATAAGCGCAGAGGCTTTCCCGCAGTGAACTTCTTTGAAGGCATGCTGGTAGACATATACCTGGCACGTAGACTCTCATCCTTTCGCTGTCACCAGGAAAAGAGTCAGTGAGGAGAACAATTGACGAGTGGACCTACACCAACTGGTGCCTTGTTGCAAACGTAGTCTGTTGCACCTAACGGACCCTTCTACCATAAACAATGAGAAACATATATACATATATATATATATATTTACATACCTTTTTGATAAAGCGTAGGTGGGCGCTCCGGCAGCGCTTGTGGCTGGTTGTGACCATGTCTGACCCCTAAGGCACATAGCACAGGAGGTTTTGCATCAATATGAGAGCATTATCTGCTTCAGTGAAAGCACGAGGCATGATCGAGGGCGCTCCAAGGCGAGACAGGGATGGCCAGTAGCGACTGGTGTAAATTCGGTTGAAAGACACACTGCAACACCAACATGACTTACGTCTGAACTGCATGAATCCCATGTCGGGGAGCAGAAGTTAGGTGGGCTTACACCCGGTTTTTCCCCCCCAAGCACAATGAAGAAGACTCAAGCGATAAATCAGTCATCTGAAAGTCAGGGCCCGGTTGTACTTTGCACGTCACTCGAGGCTTGATGACAACACCACAGCTCTGAACATCGATTCTGTTTTGCTGAACCCCTACCTGGGCACGCCCCTCGGATGATCGATTGTTTCTTCATGAGGCCTGCCAGCCTTTTCAGAAGTTGGTTCTGCTGAGCTCATTGCCAAGACTTTTGTAGTTGGAATCTTGCAGAGGGCTGGTTCCGGCCTTATTCCTGACTCACCAGCCTAGGTACACGTTTGAATCATTGACCTTCAGATTTGAGATCAACGGTGCCTGAGCTAGCAAGAAGCCAATGCAGGTCATTGCCGAAGGCGCACAATACAGCCTTGTGCTTACGAAGATTTACATATTTTTGGAAACTGGTAATTGCGGAGAATTTGTGACGTACCTCACCGGTTTCGGCGCACAGCATGTATAGCCACATTTGTACAAATGTAAATGTATGTTGACGTTTATCTGCATGCTACCCCCAGAAAAATCACAACGCACAAATTTTGCAAGAAATTTGGAGGAACGTGAGCAAGTAAGATAGCCACAAATATACCATGTCGCAGTTCCAGCCCCAGCCTTTTCTCTTGCTTAAAAGCAGTAGAAGATGCGGTGTTTTTAGACACGCATTTTCCTCACTCAAGCATGTTACGAAAGCTGAACCCAGCTCTGCTGATCTGTGCTAAGGGGGTGTGGGAGGGAAACCCCCAACAATTGTCAAATTTGGCCGTGTTTTGCGGGCCAGACCCCGCGGCAGGAGGGGTGTCCCGGTGGGCCTCGAAACAGACATGACAAGGGGTCTGTTATGATACGGTTTATGGATGCCGTGTCGGTGCCGTGGAGGCTGTTCGGGACGCCAGACGGCAGCTTTTCAGGCACGTTGGAAGCTGTTCTTGGGCGCGCGGAGGCCGTTCGAGCTCCGCCGCTTCATGAAAAAATGCACACGCCAGTTTGCACCCTGCTTATAAGCTTTAGTCCCCCGCGTGGGCGCAATTTTCGTATATGAGCAGTCGCCAAAACCTGCGCACGGGAGATTATGTAATTGGACACGGAACCCAAAATGGGCCTAAAACCGCGTTCAGTGCAGGAACCCCTGAAAAGACACCGTCAGAACCCTGTAAAGCGATGGGAACCCCTGAAAAGCAACAACACCTTCGATGCTACGACAAGTAGGCAGCCATCAAGCTCATATGAATTATGCCCCAAAAAGGAAGCGTTTGGCGTCCTCTCCTCAAAAAAAAAACGGCGGCAGGATGGGCTGCACGCGGTGCAGACCTGTGGGCCCGCAGTGGGCCCGCGCGGCAACTGGATGGGTGGCGCGGGGCGCGGCCTGTCGGCCCGAGGTGGGCCCGAGAGAAGAAATTCGGCAGCTGGATGGGTGGCAGGATGTGCTGGTCCCGCGGTTATGAGGTCTGTTTTGAATCGAAACTGGATAGGTGGCGCACAGCGCTGACCTGTGGGCCCACGGTGGGCCTGCAGGGGGCCTGCGGACGAAAAAGAACGCGGCAGCTGGATGGGTGGCGTGCGGCGTGGACCTGTGTGCCCGTGGTCAGCCCGCGGTTATGAGTTCTATTTTTGAAAGATAGCAATTCGTGCAGAGATTCTGGTCCCAAAAGCTGCTCGTGACCGAAAGCCGCGTACGCTGGCTCCTTAGAAGACATGAAGCTCGCGGCGGCTGGATGGCCAGAGCGCGGCTGGGACCTGGGCTGGCTCGGGGCCGGGCGGCTGGATCGGCAGCACCACCTGGATGGGCGGGCACGCGGCTTGGAGCTGGCTGGATTGGTTCCATCCTTATCCTTCAACCCTACACCCTAAACCCAATACCTGCCAGGTTAAAGTACGGGATCAAAAAACTTCCAGTATATTTCAGTCTAACCCCGGACTTCGCAACCTTGATCCCTGCGCGCTAAACCCCAAACCTATGAGAATCAAAACACCTTGAGCTGCAGTAGAGTCTTGATGTGTCTTGCACTGCTAGTATTGTGTGCCCGAGGCGCTCAAATTAAGATCCAAGGCTGAACGCCAACTACCAGCTTTCAATCGCATGTTTTCCATCCATGCTGTTTGGGCTCTTTGCCGGCCCTAAATTGAATCCTCCGGTTCTACATGTTGCATTCCATAGCGTTGTGTTGAATACGAATAAAATCACATTCCAAATCCAAGAATCCACACAGTTACGAAAGCCAGAAATCCAAGATCCTGGAATTTGGGTACTCCTTCGGATCAAACTGACTAAGCAGACCGGATGCAGATCGTCGGTGTTATCTAATCGATATAACAGCGGATGTATATGGGGATTTGGGGAAGTTAGCCATGTGAGCCGCACGTGTCTGGAGTCAAGGCCGCCTGAGTCAGGCACAAATAGGAGTCTACAGCAGACCGCAGCCCGAGTCAGGAACAGTGGACGGTGAGCCGTCAGCAACACAAGTCCAGAACAAGCGAGGAAGTAATTCTCAGGAATCACGTCGGAGGTTTGTTTTGACAACCTCATTGAATGATTCGGTGCGTGCGGGTGCATTTTTCGCTTCGTAAGCTCCTTCCACTAGCTTTTGATCCGTAGCCCTATGTGAGCCCAGTTCTTGGCGCGCCCCAAAGAGGCGAGGAATAAGGGAGCGCTTAGGCTGAAGTCGTTGCAAAATCCAGGTGTGCTTGCCCTTCTCTTTTCCGATTGTAACTGCTGACTGTACTTCCAAGCAGTTGGCCCAGTTGCGTGCTCGGTATTCTGAACATTAACCGGTGATGCAGAACTATGGTCCCCAGGTGGCATCGCGACATACTCAGAATTCTAAAGTTCCAAAATTTCAATACTTTGGAAGAAGCATTCCAAAGTTCCAAAGTCCAAAATTCCAAGTTCTAGATGAAGAGTTCCAAAATGCAAAAGTCCAAAATTCAAAAACATCAACCTTTTGAACTATTCATTTCAAAGTTCTAAAATTACCAACTTCTGAATACACCAATGTTAACATCTCAAAAAAGCTATGACTAGGAATTCCAAAGTGCCAAAATTCAAAAAGTGAAATTCCTGAATTCAAAAACGCTTAAACTTCCAGATGCACAAACATGGTATTTTGATGCATTTTGGAACTTTGGAACTTTAAGTCAAAAAATTGGAATCTTTGAATTTTGGAGTTTGAGATTTTGGGAATGTGAGAATTTTGGACTTGCGGCATAATAGTTCAAAAATGAAGTGTAGGAGTTCGGAGTTGTTGGTCCCAAAGGTTGCTGGAGTTTTGGAATTTCTGAATTTTGGAATTATTCATCCGAAAAATTTGGAACAGTGGAAGTCTTTGTCCTAAATTCGATTTTTCGGAAGTTGGTTCAAAAAGACATGGTTCTCTGGTATCTTGAGAGACTCACCCCATACGCATCCGGAGCCACGGATGCAGACAACGTTGGTTTCACGCAGGGTAGCGAGACCTCAGGCTTTGGCAAGGGTTTGAATCAGCAACATTATTGCCACAACCTGAGGATGTACACAGAACAAAAAATCAGTAGGTCCTTGTCCTTAAGACCCCCAGCCAGGTAAGGAGAATCGAGAAGGTGTATTCCAGAGTGCCCAATAAACTTTGAGGAAGCCAGGGCTCCAGGTGTATGAAAATATGGGATTAAATTTGAAGGACATCCTGTAAGGGAGTAACATTGAGAAAACCAAGCCCACGAAGAGCAAATTTCAATTTAAGCTTGTAGCACATTTTTGAGAAGGGCCCCTCACCTTGTGACGGATTCATATACAGAAAATCAAGCCGGTAAGAGGGGTCTAAATGTAGAAGGTCAGGAAGCTAGAATTTGAGAATTGCCTTTAAAATTTGACACGCGCGTGGCAAGGCATGCATAGAACATCAGGAGCCCAGGATCTGAGAAATGTTTGAGGTGTTTTCCACTAAGGGGCTTGCGTTTGGAAAATCAACACCGGGAAAATAGATTTCCCATTCAACTTGGAAGCACACAGAAGCAAGACACACATCCAAAGACAATCCGGCATGCAGCAGCTGAGAGTTCCGCTATAAATTAGCAACACAGTTAGCAAGCGACTTGTACAACTCATATATATATATATGTAGAAGACCTTGAAGCCACGTTTTCGTGATTTAGGAATATGCCGAAATGTTTCGGCTCTTTTCAGCCTGCTGATTTCGTAGATGGTCTGATGGCCGGGCCCTTGGTTTGTGCTACTTGCCAACGGTGGTACAGCACTTCAGGAGCTCCTATCTGTGGCATTTGCAGGATTGCGCGGGCTATTTCTGCCCTTCCGCTTGATCAACGGGTGAACAATTCAAATTTCGACTTGGCAACCTCTATTTTGGAGAGAGCTTTGGGGGAGGTAAACTCTTGGCTTTCTGTCCCTTTGACTGAAACTCCAGGAGAAACCCACCGAAATCTTAGCCCCTCTCCTGCGTCGGGAGGTGGAGCACGGAGATCGGTAGAGCCTATTGCAGATTCTCACGTCTCTTCGGGAGAAAATTCTCCTAGGTCACATAGAGGGGTAAAAGACAAACGTTCAGATCGTCATCGGGAGCGCCGACAGGACAGACGAGAAGACAGAGTCAGGCCTCCTACTCCACCTCCGCCTCCTAGAAGATCTTCTCAAAGATCCCCAACTCCCACACGGTTTGGAAGTGAGGTCCGTGGCCGGTGCCACAAAAAGAACAAAGGAAAGAAACATCGAGAACAAGGCGTAGCATTTCGGGAGGCCCACCGTGCGGATTGAAACTTCGCGAATGGCTCCTCGGCGACGACCAGCCGCCAGCAGACCTAGAGCAAGATCTGGTGAAGTTGCTGCGGCAGCAAAGGCGAATCCCCGTGTACGGTTGCCGAACAGATCAGCAGCCCCTCGCAAGCCTAAGCCGAAGGCAAAAAGTGGTTGGATCCCATTGCAAGAATTTTCCGCATCGGTCGGACAGCAGGTTCACCTAAAAGGTACTTATAAGGGTACTCCGGCAGAATGTGTAGCTCAGATTCAGAGTCTGGTTCACGACTCAGAGGGAAGTTGGATGAAGCTAGCCTTGACAGGGAGTCCCAGCCCAGAGATCAGAGAGTGGAAGAGGCAGAGACTCCCCAGCGAAGAGTTTTATGCCAATCAAAAGCCACTAGCGAAGACTCCAAGCCCAGAGCTGGACGGGTTATTCTTTGTTCAAGAAGTGAAAGAGGTAGACCCAGATTTAGAGTGGAAGTCCAATCTGGTGGATTTGATTCGAAATGGTCAGGGCCTGGCCGGTTTGGAGGGAGTAGCTCGGGATCTGGGTTACGGAGTAGGGGATTTGGGACCCCCTCTGCCCGAAGC